TATCTATCTATGAAACTATGTGCAGCAGTGCTTCATTAGATAGCGATGGGCCCAAGACATAAATTTTGCATCTGGCTCTGAACTCCCTCAAAGGTCCGATTTGGGATTTTGATTTGTGCCTAGCTATGAATCAGACAGGCAGGATAATGCCATTGTACCTCCTAGGCAGCATCATGCTGCAGTAGCTTCTTTGTACAAAAGATCATAATTAAGCAGTTGGTTCTATATAGTACTCAGTGATGTTGAACCACTCTGAATCATCTGATGTTACTCATCCCATCTGTGAGATCCTTCTGGTCTCCTGATGCTGCCCACACTCTTCCCCAGAGAAGATGATGACAGAGAGAAACATCAGCTCTACTCTGCACATGTATACAATATTAATCACTGCTGACTTTTACTGCTAATGAAGAAGAATGCTTTCTCTCTCACACACTCTCTTCCTCTCTCATGTTTAGCCAAATGTACGTACTGGTACAGAACACCACTGGACCAAACTGGGATCCTAACTATGCAGGATGCTCCTTAATTAAACCAAACTCCTTTAAAATAGCTGGATTCTGAAAAGAATGCACTTTTTAAAAAGAAGGAGCTCCTCTATCACAAGCATCCTTTAAAATGTTGTCAGTCCAGTTCTAGTGTGAGGCTGCCAAGAATTCACTGGGTAAATAAATACTGGCCAGACTCATAATTGTTCTTGTATGTGCTATCACTTAGGCATTTCAACACCTAATGCACTATGGCCTCAGGAAGATGATCCAAAGTGAGACCTTTTGGCACTGAGGAACTCCATATAGTCAAGAGAGAGAGAGAAAGGGCTTGTCTATACCACAGCTATAATGTGTCCTGGTCCAGCTGGGTCTAAGCACATCCTGCTCATGCTTTGCCCATCCTTGCCATGGGCACGGGCCGATTCCACCAGTTTGCTGGTGAAGACAGCCAGAGGTATCCATCTTAGGATCGGAGGATCCATTTCCCAAGCACTCAGTCTTCAATATGCTGCAGAGTGGGCACAAGCCAAGAAGCAACCCCATCACATATTCCCAGGTTGGAGGTGTGCAAGTGGGAACGGGTGGATAAAGCTTGGGTAGGGGTGCCCATCCTGGCCTAGACATACCTCCACCATGGCGCAGATCAGGGGTTGCCAACTTGTGGCACAGGCACCACAAGTGGCACAGCCAGCCGCTGTGTGTGGCAAATGATGAATAGGGGAGGGCAAAGGCAGGATAGTAGCAGCTAGGAAAGGAAGCAGAAAGCAGAGCAGCAAACCAGGCAGAGAGCACAGGGAAGGAAAGCAGAAAGCAGAGCAGCAGATCTGACAAGGAACGCAGGACTTGGAGTAGAAAGCAGAGGAGCAGATTGGGGAGGGGAAGGGGATCAGAGTGGCACTTGAGGAGAGTGAGGGGTTAAATGTGGCATGCCTGCCGAAAAGCCTGGCTCCCACTGGTATAGACAAACCCTTAGCCATTTCCTAAAGGCAACCCAGAGCACCAAGGCACTGATAAAGTGCAGCATCTGTGGTCACTTGCAGTGTGAAGCACAGCTGGAGATGGTGGTAGAGCCCAACACTTATACAAGTGCCTAGTGGCTTGAATGCCTACTCAGACAATGGTGGACCTCAATTCTAGGCACATCTCAACCTGAAGTCATTCAAACCCACATCTCCCACGTCCAAGGAGGGTGCCCTGACCACTAGGCTGGGTGGGAACACCCTCCATGTCTCTTGGTGGTTAGGGGGTCCAAAAGAAGAACAAGAAGATGCGATGCAACTCTGGCATGGGGATGAGGGCAGTCTCTTGGGGGAGAAGGGGAGGGCATCTCAGACTCCAGCCTCTGATGTAAGGATTATTTCTGATTCTGAACCAACAACTGTCTAATGCAAAATGCATAAATGATCCGGGGAGTAAGGACCAGAACCTAGGGCCTAACAGTTTTTGAGTGAACACTCACGTTAAGTCTTCAGTGAGGCTAGTAAAGATGTTCACTTGTGTGAAATGCCTGGGCACAGCTTGATCACAGCGTCTTATAGCTTTTCATGTCTGCTGCCTTCACAAATGACTTTCTGTATATGAAAGATTACACTCTTGTCACATAACCAATGCCTTTCCACCTATTCTCCAAAGGACAGGAGGATGCATTCTGCATCTACTTTGTAACTAAAATGCGTCTCCTCCTGAAGTCCACCAAAACTTGTCCAAACCTGCCTCTCAAGACACATGGCTATGAAGAACCAGATCTTTTCACTTTCTGAGTAAAACACAATAAATGCCTTCCTATTACCTTCTCTGTACCTGTACCTGCCCAGGAGATAAAGTTTGCACCTGGATCTGAACTCCCTGCAGCCTGAGCAGTGGAATTACAAACATCTGAACTCAATGCTGAATATTTATTTTGGATTATTAATGAACAGCATAAAAATTGCTGACATTAACCTTCACTGGAAAAATTGGTTTTAATGGGTCCCATAAAATCTTCTATTGATGTTGGCTTCACAAAGAGCCATATTGACTTTAGCTAAGGCTATAACTTTTATCAATACTGTCAACAATTAATATTGACTAATAAAGGTATCCTGCAAACTGAGCCATTGCATTAGGTTACTTTATGCTGCCATTAGCAAAATTCCATGTCCTCTGAAATCTCTCTCTCATAAATCTGGGGGTCTCAAAATAACCTAGGTGACAGCTTAGGCCAGAAGGGCCTGTGTCAATAAAACTTAGGTGCAAAACAGGAAAACCAACAGCAACCTCTACATTTTCTAAACCAGACATTTCAAACGGGCTTACGTTGGCTTCCACATGTGCAACTACAGCTATCTACATACAAAGAATGGGCTTGTGAATTTTTCTCACAGCTTCACTTGCACTAACACATGCCATAATTGATATGCACAAGCCTGGTTTGTGTTCACTATATGCTCACAGGTGGCAGTTTGCTCAGGACAAGAGGACAGGGTTCTGCGCTTGTTCCTATTCTCTTCTTCCTCTGTACCTTCTGTCTGGGCAATCTCATCTGCAAATACTACTTCTCCTGCCTGCTCTGTGCCAATGAATCACAGATTTACTTCTCTTCTCCACATCTGCTTCCTTCTGTCCAAACAATAATATTGGCCTGTTCCTGAAATCCCCTTGTGGACATCTCTCCAGTAGCTCAAGCTCAAAATGGCTAAAACTTAACTCTTAATCTTTCCCTCAATAACCCTGCCATGTCCTTTTTCTGCCAACATGCACTTTGTCACCTTTCTGCCCATCATTTAGGCCTGTAACTTGTTTGTCATCTTCAGTTCAGACTTGCTTCTAGATCTTTGCATCCACATACATTTCTTTTTTTGCATAATATATGCAAAATGCTATTTTTACTACCATCTAACCACCTATTCCCTTCTGGGCTCATATCTTTTTTGTATATAAAATTCTTTCGAGTATGGGCAATCTTTTTTGTTCTATATTTGTATAGTATGTAGCACTATAGAGCCTTGGTCTGTAACTGGGGTTCTTGGCTCCCACCGTACTCCTAGAAAACAGCTTCTGCAACTTTCAGTCTGTGCGCCAATGCTAACGTGTTAGCATTTCACATGCAAATGATCTGAATGCACAGAGTTGCATGTGTGCACAGAGAGGCTGCATTACAGAATCCTTAATCATTAGATAGTTAAAAGACTTTAGGAGACTAAGGTGAATAAAAGATTTACCTTCTGCGGTTTACTTTTGGCACAGAACAAAAGAAAAACATGGAGGATATCACAACAGCTACTCAGATACCAAATGACAGACACGGGATTAGAGAATGGAATAGGAATGCCCATGTTTTATTTATTCATTCAATGAAAGATCCAGGAGAAAGTTCAAAACCGAAGACCCTGGAAATTCTGCCCCCTACCATCGCTCAGGTTTTGGATCAAAATATTAGGCAACACACAGGGTAAGGCCGTATCTCTTGCCATGGCACTGAAAAAGTTTGTGTGCTCTAATGAATGCAATCCTGCGGAGAACGTAGCACTTAGGGAGTTTAAGAACTACTGCAAAGATACTACTAATAATAACGATAAAAAAAGAAACCTTTCCTATACCCTCTTAATGGAGGGCTGTTTATCTTTGAATCTTGCCTAACATATCATTATCACCGAACAGAAGCTTAATAGGTTTCAACTGTAATTTGTTGGAGTTAAACATACAATCATGTGGGTGGCGTATGCCTTAACATGTCATGGCTTCCCAAGTAAAAATTATCATCATTTGTCACTAGAAATCCATGGCATGAAGCAGAAAGGCAACAAGCAATACAGTCGTGTCATCTCAGCCGTCTGTGCTGAGCTCAAGTTCCTCCATGGCTGGTACAAAGCATCTATATTAAGAAACAGGCTGTGCAGTAATTGAATTAAAGGTGCAAAGGCATATCTGCCTGCGTGAACACCAGGGTCAAATCACAACGGTATAAAAATCCTCTCTCCTTCTTAAGCTGCTTCACAGAACTGCTGACCAAAAAGTTCACGCTACAGCCACCCCAACCACACGTATGCAGGACTCTGTGCGGCTAGGGACCGCGTGGCTACAAAGATAAAAATCCATGACCTTCAGGTTGGAAGAAAAGGTTGCTAAAAATATTGCACAGTCGCATCTCTCAGAAAGCAGCCGGCCTATTTACATAAATGACATGGCTACTGTCAAGGAGGCAGCCAGGAGGGTAGGGAACTTATCTGCTCAAATATCTGCAGAAGAGAAGTGTTTTGTGGGGGAGGAAGAGGGGGGTCTAAATGCTTTTTGTCTGAAGTGCTCCTATGAAAAGTGGAGAAAATATCACACAGCCATTTAATGATCCCAGTTCTGTGATGAGCAAGTAGGTGCTTCTCTCACAGTTCATTAATGAATATTTTGCAAGACAGTATAAAAGGCCCTGACACCAGGCTGTGAAGAGAAGAGCAGTTTCTCTTAGTTGGATCAGAAATCAAGGATGATTAAAATGACAAAGAGAGGCACTTTTGATAGCTTGATGCCACTCACCGGTTTCGGTGTTTTCGTGCTCCGTGTCGGTAAGTGTGAGGTTGGAGTTGGCGCGGCTCGACAAACAGGAGCTGCGGCCCGACTTGGTGCTGCGCCCCCAGAGTCTCACCGGAGGCTCTGGTGACATGGCTGCATCAGCCTCCGTGTCAGCATCGGAGCCGGCACTGATCGAGTAGCCGCAGTGGGGCAGCCCCATCTCAGTCCTGTATAAAGTCCCATGGGCGGGGTTCACATCCTCCAGGCCCAGTTCTCGCAGAGAGAAGTTGGCTCCTAGGAGAAAACAAAGTTTTGTGGTTATTTTATAATAATCTTCTGTCTAATATAAGCAGGCTAGTGCCCTAAGCAAACCCCAAGATATAGCAGGTCCTGAGTTCTAATCTCACTATTGATGTTGACTTGCTATTTGACTTTTAATCTTTCCCTCAATAACCCTGCCATGTCCTTATCCTGCCAACGTGGACATTGTCACCATCCTGCCCATCATTTAGGCCTGCAACTTGTTTGTCATCTTCAATTCAGACTTGTTTCTAGATGTTTGCATCCCTGTAGATTTCTTTTTCTGCATAATATATGCAAAATGCTATTTTTATTACCATCTAACCACTTAAAATTCCCTTCTGGGCTCATATCTTTTTTGTATATAAAATTCTTTCCAGCATGGGCAATCTTTTTTGTTCTATATTTGTGTAGTATGTAGCTCTATAGAGCCTTGGTCTATAATTGGGGTTGTTGGCTCCCACCATACTCCTAGATAACAGCTTCTGCAACTTTCAATCTGTGCACCAATGCAAACATGTTAGCATTTCACATGCAAATGATTTGTATGTACAGAGTTGCATGTGTGCATAGAGAGCCTTTGGTTATTGAGTCGGGGCCAAAATGCTCCCAACTGGCCTCTGACTTTTGGTTCCTTATCTGGGACATCCTGATGTTCAGAGGTGGCAAGTTCTTGCAGCTTCCACTGACTTCAATGGCCATTGTCGATGCTCAGCACCTCTGGCAATTGAGCCCCTAGTTTCTCATGTTGGGTACCCAGAAGTGAAGACACCTAATGTTAGGAAAACATTTTAAAAATGGTTCTGACCACTTCTGTTTCGGATTTATCATTTGGAAAATTACCTCCCTCTCATATGAGACACAGTGAGGATAAAGTGAGTGATTTGAACAGTGCTATGGATATGACAAATGCTAAAGAGATGCTAATTATCGGTAGTGTTGCCTGCAAAGTGATAAGATCAGAGGCATAACCGGTAAGGCTTGTGCCCTGGGCCGCTGCTGTGGGAGGAGGTGTTGGCCAACAGCTAGAGAGTTAACGCAGCAGCGACAAAGTACACAGACCCTCTCTCCGTCCCTTCCTGCAGCCACCACCCCACCTCATCCGCATCGCCAAGCACACAGATTCCCATCAAATACTATTTTCAGCAGCAACGAAGATAGTGGGAGCTGTGTCAACCTCTTGGCTGGTGGCTGCACCAACACCTCCGTCCTCCTGCAGTAGCAGTATCTTCAATGGGGAATGGTGAGGGGACCAGGGATACTGGTACACAAGCCCCCACCTGCTCCCCCAGCTGCAAGAGAGAAATAGCCCTGATTCTGGCCCCATCTCTGAGTGCCCTTAGTTTCCGTGACTGGTGGCAGGGGACAACTGTGGATCTGGTAGCGCATTAGGGCAGCACTCCCATTAAATCCATTCTGATGCCCCCAGGTCAGGGCCAGAGATCCTGGTTTTCTCTGATTAAAAAAAAAAAAAA